CAGTATTTGAGCTTCTCAATGGATGCGCTGCTGTGACCTGCCCTCCAGCAACCAGTGACCTAAAAATCACAAAACTTCAGCTATTCACGAAACCTCCTCCCATCTGTTGTGAGAGGCTTGTATACTTGCCCCCTTTATTGCTAGCAGATATGTTCAATTATTTTACTATTCAGGCAGCCTTCAGCTTGTGACTGATTGGCTTTCTTTCCTGCTTCTTCTTTGATTTTTAGATGGATGCCATCATGAAGTTTTTCTAGATTTTTTTAATACTCTTCTGCCATCAAACCCTTTCTCTCCCCATGCTTGTATAGTAAGGCAGATTTTCATCTCTACTGTATTAGAGTATCTGGGCATGAAGGAGAATTTTTTTTTTTTTTTTTTTGTGAAGGAGAATTAAATTTGATCTAAAACACAACAAAAAAGAGAAAAACATACATTTTTTTTATACATGTATAAGAACCTCCAATGGAAAATAAAGACTGGAAAAAGCAGTAAAACCAAAGTTGTTATTTAGAAGTGGCAGTTGTGGGAAAGTAAAATAATATGTATGGAGAAACATAGCTTAAGAGTTACTTAACAAGATCTATTTGTACAGTTTTTTATAGGGCCAAGACATCCCATTGCTGATAGTAAGACAGTTTCTTCTCTCTTGATACAAGAAAAGAGCTTCCTTCGCATTGGAATTTTCTTTTTTCCCTGGATCTGGTTATAAAGTTTCTTTTCTCGTGATGCTTGAAAGGCAGACTTCCTCTTGTGTATGTTGTTCTTCAAGGGTTTTAGTTTAGGATAATCCTTATGACAAGTGGTACTTATTCTGGTAGCATGTTTTGCCTCTCTCCATTCATTTGCTAAATGCTTTCCTTTCAGAACATGGGGTAGTCATCTTGGTTTTAAAAAGCCCTGCAGGTAGCCAGTTAGCACTCAGGAAACTGAGTCAGGAGGATCAGCATGAGTTTCAGGCCAGCTTGGGCTATATATACCAAGACCCTATCTGAAAAAAGACCTGCAGGTAGTTCTGATAGACAAATTTCCTTTGGGCACCACTACCCAAAGGATCATGAGATCATGGTACTGAGATCATGATAGAATAATGAAACAGGCCATTACAAATTGCTATTCATCAATCCCCAAAGGTTATTTTCATAAATTACATAATTTTTTTCACCATATTGCAGCAGTATTACTATAGAGAGTGGCAAACTTTCCTTAAGGATGTTCTTATATTACTGTTCGGTTGGTGTTATATGTATGGATGCATGTGTGTACACATATACATGTATGTAGTCACTATGAAACTGTTCCAAGTGTTGATAAGGTGATTATAATGAATCCTTTTGTCTTTGACTCATTGTTTATATTGACACATTTTAGTCATTTTTTTCCTCTAAGACTATCCTTGAAAAGTTAAATGATTGTTTTATTTTATACATAGTAAATAGTTAATAAATGTTGATAATGGGAGTGAACAATGGGCTAGCTTATTCAGATTTATAACAAAGGGTCTATACAGAAATTTATAAATGAAGATACAGGGGCTGGGGATTTAGCTCAGCGGCATAAGCGCCTGCCTTGCAAGCAGGTAGTTGTGAGTTCGATCCCTGATACCGATAAAAAAGAGAAAAAGACCAAAAAAACCAAAATGTTAAGGTAATCTCTACTCTTTGAAAATATAAACTTCTTATATAGTAAAAACTTTTCCAAGTCTATTTTCTCTTACCTCTTAAGTCACCACTTCTATATACCCCATGATCTATTCCCACCCCACCTCTGTGGAAAATCTTAATATTAATTGAAGCTAAGATGATTGTACTGCTGTTGCTAAGACTTCAGCAGTCTCTTACAAGCTAATGTCACCACATGGGGTCCATTTACTCTGTGTAGCTATCTGCAGTGCAGTGAGAATGCCTTGATTAATATGCTACATGAAAATAAAATGGATCTGGAAATATTATAACATGCTCTCATAAATATTAATTCACATTTATATGGAATTACACATAATTTTCAGTATACTTTCGAGGCATCTTGAGTATGAAAGTACTGGTCTCTAAAAACAATGGCATAATTTTTTAGAAAGGGCAGTTAATATTAAATACCGATTGTTTATTAATCTGGTACTTTGCATGTACATGGTGTGGATCAGTATAGGTGGGTTGTAGGACAGAGCAAGAGTTTTTTTTTTTTATCCTATAAATAGCTTTTGTATTACCCTTAGAGAGTAGTACAATTTATTCATATTATATAGAAGCAGCTCAGGTGGAACTCACCTGTTTCTTCTGCCATTGTTGCCATTATTCCTCAGAGTCTTTTCATGACAGCCAACTATTTTATTTAAATATGACGCTAAACATAGAACATTTTTGAGTTGAGCAGATATGTAGCAGCTGACCAAGGTAGTGCACAGTGGACAAAAGAATTCAATTTAGTAGACATTTATTCAACCTTTACCACATGTGAGTCACTGCATGCAAAAGGAGCTGGGGATCAATGGCCTTTGCACTTGCTTTGGTTTCAGTGTCCTCTTTACCACTTCTTAGCACGTCCTCATTGCCTCAGAACTGGCCCTCATAGCAGAGGGAAGATCATCTGCAGTGGTAGCAACTAAATGTTAGACCCAGAACCACTCACTGGCCTTATGGAACTTCTGTCTTTGATATTAAGTCCATTATCTTTAATATTTTTTTGGTCAAAGGATGACTCTTTCTCCTTTTTGGCATTTCTTGCTATTTCTGTGATCTTTCTTATATGCCTGCAGTGCCTGCTAAGTGCATTGGTTTCCTAACATTATCAGCTTTTCTAGCTTGCTTTGCTGTTTATTGGTGGCAATTTAAAATATTTTTAAAAAATTACTTCTGTGGTTTATCATTACTGTGTTATAGCTAGTTTTCACTTGTGTGTATTTAGCAAGCATATATTGATCACCTATTGATTTATAAGAAACATTCCATGACAATCAAGTATTGTGGCATTTATTATATGAAACATTGGGGCTATTGACATTAACTGCTTAGTCTTTTCCTTTTTACTTTCTTTTGAGGGATTACACTGCCAGCTGCACAAGGCTGCAGTACAAAACCTATGCACCAGCTGTTCTCTGTGCTTATCCTCTCAGATCTCAATCAAATAAGATTCATCTCCTCAACCCTAACATTCTACTCTCGTGTACATTATTTTCCTCAGTTTTAGCACCCTTTATTTTTCTTGTAGAGTGGGTTAGTTAATTTGTGTTTACTATATATGAGTGACTTCATTAACATGGTCCCCTAAATCCTAAGACCTATGAGGGTAGGAAGTTTTCTTTACACAGTTGTCTTTCTATCATCTGTATCGGTCAATATTAAGTTTATTCTTGGCATTATATTGAGTACAGTATTTGTTGAGTAAAGGCCTGGGAACAGAGTCCTAAAAGAAAGGTCTCCCTGAATAGGCAACAATTCTATAAGAGTCCTTGTAATAGGAAAGGAAGAACGTGGAAGGTAAGACTAAAGAGAGTAAAGCCTTTCTGAGCCCATTCAGGTTATTATGACAAAATAATGTAAAGTGAGTCACTTAAAAAAAAAAACAAAAACATTTTTCACAGTTGTTGAAAAACAGCATGTTTAAGATCAATGGGCCAGAAGAGTCAGCATCTGGTAAGGACTGGTTCCTTATAAATTGTGCCTCTAAGCTGTTTTTCACATTGTGGAAAGCATAAGCAAGCTGAAGTTTCTTTTATAAGAGGACTGCTCTCACTACTAAAGTGTTTCCTTCCTGATCAAACCATGGCCAAAGTTCCCTTCTTGTAATTGTATCACCTTGGTGGGGGAAAGAGGGAGGAATACAAATTTCAATATGTAAATTTGGAGGCTTCACAAATACACAGGCATTTGCAAGGGCGTAGGTTTCAAACTTACAGACATGACCAATTTGAGGAAAGTTGTTGAGGAGCATTATATATGTCAGTAGTGAGTGCTGAGGTATGAAAAACAGTGGAGTACATAATTATTTGAAAAATACTGGACATAAATGGGAGAAAAGAGAAAGTAGTACAGAAAGATAAGTAATGGGAATTTTAATTTTTTTCATTTTTAAATGTACCATTATGATGGCAGAATCTGAGAGGGAGGTTAGAATGATTGAGGACAAAATGGTTTTCATTTAGTGGTTAGTGTGTACAGAATTTCTCAGGGTTCAAAACAGGACATGTTATTTGATATTCTGTGAATCCATTATGCACATGGGCCCAGGGTTGCAATGACTTACTTCAAGTCTCCTAATGAACATGTCAGAGTCTGGAGTGAACTTAGGCCTTTTGAACTCTAGCAGGTCTTATGGACTGAGATTCTGGCCTAGAATATCTACAAGTTCTAGAATGGCTCCCCATTCTAGAAGAACATTGATTTCTTGTCTCCTACCCATCCCCCATTTCCACCCGCATTCAGGGATATACAAAAGTTCTTGGTGGTAATACTGTCATTACATTTTGTGAAGAAAGTAGAGATTTAGAATACTCAGAGTAATGTGATAAAAGTATAATGCATTAAGGGAACATTTTAATCATATGTATTGACAGTTTCTTTCTTGCTGGCTCATATCCAGCTGGTTCTGATACGTTCAATCTTGTGCATTTTCTTTTGAATCCAACAAGCACTTAGTACATTTTTGGGGAACATACAGTAATTGATACAACAATTTGGAAAGTAAGTGTATTTAGCTTCCTATGGGAATTTCACGTGATGAATCTAGCACTGAATCAAATAAAAAGTCATTATCCCAGGTACCAGAAAATCATTTTCGATGGACAGTTATGTGGCTTTTTGAGTTTTGTGCCCAGTAAGACTAGATAGGATGTATTTGTAGTGACCTCAATGATTCAGATAAATTAAGCACCATGCTCATAGTTTTAGGTATCATGTCCCTTTTTTTCTCTTTGTCTCCCCTTTTTGTTAATATTTAACCTATATTTTGGGTGGACCCTAGATACCTATTAACCACCACTTCTCTTTGCTTCTCTTCTACAGAAAGATGTAGCACTTAAGCCTCAGGAACGTGTAGAGAAAGGCCAGACTCCCCTGAGTAAGAAGAAACGAGAAGCACTTACAAACGGCTTGTCCTTTCATTCAAAGAAGAGCAGGCTCAGCCATCCACACCACTACAGTTCAGATCGAGAAAATGACCGCAATCTCTGCCAGCATCTCGGGAAGAGAAAGAAAATGCCGAAGGGACTCAGACAGGTGAGGAAGGTTGAATTTATTCTTTGCTATGGCCTTTTCAGGTGCCTATTACACTGTGGTTCTTCTGAATAGGTAGAGAAGATATCCTTGGTGGGGTGCAGAAGTGGCTGCTCCCCTGAGTTGTGTGCTTATTTTTAAATATGACCCTAGTCTTGGTGATTTTTGTTAGGATTTAAAACTTTATAATGATACCATTTCAGTCTGATATTCTCTGTACAGCAAAGTTTCAACTGGTGCTTGAGGCTGCAGTCTTCATAATCATCAAGATGGCTTGTGGAGAGAGAGCTTCATAATTAGGACAAATGGAATAGGGAAATTTGGCAACATCCATTACATAGCTCATGGTTTTGAGGTGCTAGAAATGATGGTGTATGCCTGCTATGCCTTGAAAAAGATTGATACTTTCCATGACAATCAAGTATTGCGGCATGTGGGAGTGCGTGAGCACAGAAATGAGTTAGACTTTTGGTGCTTTAGTTGTTCTCCTTGAGCCATAACTCAGGATTATTTTTGTGAGATCTGTTGATGAAAAAAAAGTTTTGGAGGAGGGCTCTCTGGCTTGTTAATAATTAAGTTTCAGTGATACCCAGGCCAATAAAGATCTTGGTATTTGGGGAGCCTTTCTGCCCCTGGAAATTCTGAAATGAGATGGAATAATAATATAAAAGGAAAAGCTGTTTATAGCAAATTTTCTGCATTAATAGGGAGGCTTTAGTGCCTGTAGAGTTTACCTGTATCTTGGGTGTGTTTTGTTTTTGGTGAGAATATTGGGTGGAATTGACTATCACTTGCAGGAAGCAGAGGGAGAATTTCACAGAGCAGGTGTTGCTAATTAGAAGCGGAGTGGGTAATTTCTAGATTGCAGATGTTTGTTTGCAGAGGAAAAGATCTGAGATCATACAATACAGTGATTCCACACCTTATAAACCATTAAAATTATATGAGGAATCTCACTAAACACAAATTTCTGGCTTCTCCCTAGGATCTAATGAAGTTTGTAGATTAAGAAACTTTCTTTTAGATAATGGTCAGGCTGATTTGATAATCAGTTTTATGAGGCATCAAGTGTGCATTTTGGGTGGTGATTTTTAGTTTTAGAAAGATCAAAAGCACCAAGAAGATATAAATTGGGAGTTTGGTGTCAGAGTTCAGCTAAATGGGTAATGAAGACTATTAATATGAAAAAAAAATACCTGGAATAATAAGTTTCAGTGTAGACTTGAAGACATCCATTGTAATGCTCTCAAATCTGACACTCTGGGCAGTTCCAAAGGTGTACATGTAGTCTAAAATCTCATGTTGAAGTTAAAACAGTAATTACTCATGTTTATCTATACTTGTATCCAGTCTACAGTAATTTTGCTACAGGCATTCATTGAGATAGCTTTATATAGTATAACCTGTAATTCATACTATAACCCTGCTTGGTATGTAATTATTGTGGTTAATTTACAGATGTGGAAACTGGGGCTCAGAGAGATAAAGTAGTTTATCAGAGTTCATCTGGCAGTGAGACACAGAACTGAAATTTAGACTCAGATTTCTCTATCTCCTAAGTTTGCTTGGTTTCCTCTGTACGTTCTGTCTTCTTTGCTTAAGATAAAGATTGGGAACAAAGAGAAAGAACTGTAAGTCAGAAGATGGAAGGCGTTTACTACAAGTATTTCTAGGAACTACAGGATTAGTTTGGTCAGCATAACTTTGGCCACAGAAATGGCCTATGAATGTAAACAAGAAATGGGGTAGAAATACTCAGTTCAAAGGTGGGTAAAAAGATAGTTTGAAAGTAACAAAATCTCTCCTTTCCATAAGTGAGAAAAGTAATTATTCCTCGTGGAGAGAAATTGAATTTTTTTTTTTTTAACTGCAGTTTCTCTTTTCCAAGCCTGCCTGCCCTCCCAACAGGGTATTTGTAAGCAGTCTCCTTACCCTTTCAGGCAAGAAATCAACTTATTTCTGACCTGCATATGAAGCTGTGGGTTCTTATCTTTGATTCCTGTTCTCTCTGTCTTTTCTATTCTCTCTTCTCAAAGTTTGTTCAGTTTTGTGAAGCTTTTAGTTTCCTTTTTATCTGCTGAAAGTGTTTATAATCATGAAACAGTGATAGCATCTTGTGCCTATAATGTGAGTAGCTTTTGATCTTAATTGTGAACCTTTTGGTACTAATTTTATTTGAAATGAAAGTTATCTTCATTTTAGGTAATGTGTTTAAAAGGTAAATATGTTGAGAATTTGTGAATCACAAATAAGAGTGAATCAGCTGATAACTGAGATAAGCTCATAGCACTTTTTGTTTGTAATATTCCTAGTACCCTATGTGCTGTTATGAAAATAGAAATCAATAACTCTAGAAAATGAGGGATTTAGATTGGAAAATTTCATAGTTTCCCTTTTGAGTTGAATGATTCTTTAAATTTATGGATAACACAGAGAAATATGATGTTATAGAGGTCTGTAAAGGAAGAACGTAGTAGTCTGAATGTAATTTTGTTTTAATATCTCTCAGCCTGTAACTTTCAGCTGTGTAAAGACATTTAAAGAGACGAGTCAGTTGTATTTGTAGAAGTATAGTTAGTTATGCCTCCACTCAGACAAATGCCCTGTATTTTATGATAACTGATAAAAAGTAGGATACAGGTGTTTAATGGCCACAGTAGATGTTAAAAATCTTGCTGTAAGTGTAGTTAATGGTTGCTTTCGTCTCATCATAGATACCTTTACATATTACTGTCACGTTTTCCCCCTGCCTTTGCTTTTTACTAGATAAATTGACTAATGTGACTATTTTAGATGGAAGGTGACCTTAAGATGAGAATTGAGCTGTGAGGAGCATTTCTAAATTAATAGGTTGTCTTTTAGTGCCACTTATTGAGGGAACTGTAATCTGAAGAACTATAGATAAAAGCAAGCAGTAGGATGCATGAACTTAGTCTTTATTTCCCACTTGAGGAAAGTAGTTTGCATCTTTTTAGGAATTGGTACTTCTTGAGTAAGCAACTTAATACAAAACTTTCGTATAATTATGGGAGGACAGTTTTTCCTTTGTACAGAGGAAGTATTATGTTTTTCCCCCTGACAATCCATTGAAAGCAACTGATCTTTTTATTCCAAGAGTATAATAATATACTCTTAAGAGAAAGGTATGATTTTAAAATTAAACTGCATTTTCTTCTCTTGTCTGGTTATGAAATCTCAACTCTTGTGATATGTTTATCCTGTCAAAAGAAAGCTTTTAAATTGGAAATTAACTTATTTGTTGGACTATATTTTTAATCGTTAATATATACTAGACTGTATTAATTAGCTTTTGTGTCACTGGGACAAAATACTGGATATATACAACTTGAGGAGAGTTTGATTTGGCCTTCCATTTTCAAAGAGGTGTCTATGGTAGAATAGCTCGAAGGCAAAAATGGCTTGGCAGAGAAAAGCTGCTCAACCCACAGCAGGCAGAAATGAGGAGGAGCCAGGGACAAGAATACATTCTTTCAGGTCATTCCATGACCTGCCTCTTCTGATGATGGCTGGCCTCCTATATTTAAGTATAAACACATCAGTGGGTGAGCATAGTGTTTTTGTGATCCAATCACCTCTCGAAAGCCCCATTTCTCAACATGTGAGACTTTGGGTGCACATTTGAGATCTATATCATAACACTGACTTAGAAGATACTAATCTGGCAATTATCCCTGCAAATTATTGCTTTTTTCTTCTATTTTTCTTGACAGGATCTTGCTATGTAGTTCAGGCTGGTCTTGAATGCACTATGTAATCCAAGCTGGCCTCCAACTTGGGTCGATCTTCCTGCCTCAGGATCCTGAGTGCTGGAATTATAGGTGTGTGCCGCCATGCCCTGGAAGTTGCGCTTCTTATTGTGCCACATTTAAATACTTCTTTATTCCCAAAGGGATTTTTAAAAAAAACTGATGAAGATTATTTGTGGCACAAAATATTTCTGACCTCTCTAGCATTATCCTTGCTCTACATTGAACTACTAGTGCTTGTCATGTGGGCACCCAGAGCTTATATTCAGAAGCTTCTAATAAGACCGCGTAGACTGTTTTTCCTCTTACTTAGATTTGGTGGTCACTGGGGGAATCAAAACTGAGGTTGCATAGGTCCTTTATGTGTGAATATTCTTCTCTAATCGAGAAACATAAGGAGGTCATGTGCTATCAAATTTACCTGATTCTTCTCTATTTGAGAAACATAAGAAAGTCATGTGCTATCAAACTTACCTGCCAGATTATGACTTTAGGTAGCAATTTTTGAAAAATTAACCCTTTCCAGAGCACTGAGTGAACTCAGTTTTTCTTTCAATGTATGATAACTTCTCGAACATGGGAAATGTTTTTAAAATGTATTATTTTGTAGTTTAGAACAAATAGCAAAGAGGTTTTAAAAATAGAGCAGCAATGATGAATAGTTAATGAGAGTTCAGAGAACTTTCAGATTTGGCTCCAATTGGATTTCTAAATCTCCATTTAGCCCATTAGTTTGTCCTTTTTTTCTAGTAAGAACTAAACCAGAAGAAATAGGTTGAAATGTGGTAGAAGCCATTGTTAAGTTACATAAACTTTGCTAAGGAACATTAGGAAAATAAAGAAACATAAGGAAAATGAATGAATGGATCACCAAAGTGCATCCCAGACTTCTCCCTCTAATTGAATTTTAGATGCCAAAAAGCTATTTAACAGGGGCAGAGTTGCCCAGAGAACAGGCAACTTATTGAGAATAGGTCATATATGACTAGAAGAATGCATTCATTTCATCTGAAAATAAAGAAATTTGGGAATATGTCAGAAATTATAGCAGGTAGACTCTAACCTTGCTGGCAAGGATGGCTTATGTGGTGTTATAGATTAAGAATTGGTGGTCAACTTAATGCCAGCTGGATCACATCAGCATAGCATTGAGCGAAGATGCTCCACCTGAGGAAAGTTGCCAGGATAAATAGGTGGAAAAGAAGGGAGGTGTTGAGGGTTGAGGCATTAAGGAGG